TATGTTTGACATAGTAAAGAGAACTGAACTCAAATGGGCCAGAGTTTTCAATGAAGCAACTTGTGGTTTTATGACTTCTGGGCATACTCTAAATGCTGTCTTAACCTACCAGAAGTTAATCCATCCACAGCGCCTGGGCATATTCATTTTTGGCCAGATTGCTCTGTCTATTAAATTGTACTGATGTAGAGGTAAGTTTTGGCCCACTTTTTTCAAGTAAATCTACGGGTGGATAGAGGGGACATTTACAAAGTATGCTGAGGCAGCTGGGTGGTATTGCATTACTATCCTAGGACTACTGAGGAGTGGTTATTTTTAGCTTTCACCCGAGTAAACATGACTCAGTTTGTTGACCTGAATCCATCCAGCCCCTTCTTAAATAAACACAGTCTATTAATCCCTAGAACCACACTGGTTTCTAAGTAAGACCTTCACTTCATATTACCTGTTAGTTGACTGTAGCTTCTTCAGAGGCTGCAGGTAATTTCAACTTCTTCATTTCACTCTGTTCCCTTAAAATAAAATCCATCACACTTAAAAAAAATTAATGACAAATCAAACTTCTTTTAATTTTAGACACTGTTTTGTAATCCATGTAGTCACAATTTTGGCTACAATTTAATGAAACTACTGTAGGCAACCAGCCTTTAGGTATAAGCTTTATTTTTTAGTTTACTTTAATAGGCTTTCTACATAAAGAAACATCTGAAAGTAGGAAATTGTCTTGAGGTATAAATACATTACTGGGGAAACATTTATTGTCCATTTATGAATATCAGAATTTCTATTTACTTTCTCCAACAATACAAGTATTTTGTCTTTTGAGCACTACTAGAAACATTGAAAATACTAAATTGTTTTCAGGTTTTTAAGTTATGCAAAGGTTTTTGAGTCCAGAAGACTAATTTATTCAAGTAAAGGAAAATGTTTGTGATTCTCATAGTGTAGCTGGAGATGCATTTGAGGTTTCTCCAAGTTCATTGTCATGACCTTTATGAAAAATATTAGTATTCCTGGGATTTTTTTCTTTATGCAAGAAACACTAGTCTAATGAAAGAATGAAAATGACTCAGGCTGCTACAAAGGCAGGCGTTCACTGTGTCCATTAAAAATGCAGCCTTTGTGCCCGTAAAGTGCTCAGCTTCTCTGTTATTAAGTTTGGAATGTGGTTTTGGAGTTTAGCTGAGGAACTCAGCTAGTTATTTCATTTTGGTCCAAGGGGAGAAAGGCTTGTTTTTCAAAAGGAAAAAAAATGAAAAAAGGTTAGGTTCATTTTGGAAGAATAGAAGTTTTAAAATGTAGTCACTATTTTTTGCCACAAATAGTCAGTTTGAGCATGTTAGCCAAAAATAGAATTCATGACTTTTGTCTCCCTGTTTATTTCTCCAACCACATTAAAAAGCGTTCAGTTAAATGTGCCATTTGGTCTTTTTAATGTCAGTGGGCTATTTAGCTGAGTCAGGATAACCAAAATTTGATTGATTCATATTTCTAATAATAGGCCAGATGTCTGATTACAGATGAATTAGGTGTAAAATGTCTTTGTGATATAGTTTTGAGTTTTTTAAAAAAACTGCCCTGGCATGGATTAGTGGTGACTCTGGGCCGCAGTGTTCAGGATTCTACACTGAAGGACTTTCAGCTAGAGTTTATAGTGCTGGGTTTTCAGGTACCTTTCATAGGCATTGTCACACTTTCTGCAAATATATTACTACTCAAAATTTAGGATAGATATTTAGGTGTAGAATAATGTGTATCTGATCATTAGAGGTAGAGAACATATTAATAATACAAACTTTTGCCTCCTATGTTACTTTCCTCTTGCTTTACATATTTCTCCATTAAATAAGAGATGATTTATGCTGGTAACAGGTCTGAGAGAACAGTATACTGAATATATTTACAGAATTAAACATATGTAAACCATGCATGTTAAACATAATTTATATAATGTTTTTCATTCACTACTAACTTTAGGAGAACACTTTTATAAATTGATTTAAAAAAAGATACTATACTGGCAAAATCCACATGAAGAAAGCTATGAAAGAGATGTCAAAATGAAGTCCAGTTAATGGAGAAGCAATCATTGTTCTTGCGTGGGAACACTAAATGTTGGAAAAGGATACTTATTCTGTCCACTTTCATTTATAGACTTAAGGTAATTTCAATGAAAATCCCAGCAATAGGACATACATTTGAAATGGATTGGGGAGAGGGGATTTACTCTGTCAGATATTGATACACACCATCAACATACAGAATTCAAAACAGTGTTGTGTTGGGCCATGACTTGACAGTCCAATACATGAAACAGAACAGATTGTCCAGAAACATCTATTGTTATATATAAGATAAAGTGATGTCATAAGTCAATGAAAGTCTATTTAGTAAAGAACAATGTCAATATTAACAATAAAAAATCTAGAACCTCACCTCATCTCTTATATCAAAACAAATTCCAGAAGGTTCAACTATTTAAATATTAAAAAAATAACATTGTTAAAAATAACTAGAAATTAATAAAGGAGACTCTTTTTTGAATTTGGAGGTAAAGAAAGTTTCTCTAAGGAAAAAAGCATAGAAATAAAACAAATGAAAAGAGAGATTCTATATATAATTTGGATCATCTCTATATTAAAATATAGACAACAGATGCAAATGGTAAGATAAATTAGAATCAAAAAATATCAGGCAAAGAATTATTCTTATAGACAACCTTTACAAACTAAGGGGTGTGTAGGTAAGTTCAATTTGGTATATCATATGATTATTTTGTAACTGCAAGTTGAAAATGTTTAATTATGGAGAAATTATTTATAATATAATAAGTAATATTAGTTTTATACTTTTTATGTTCTCAAACACTGTTCTTAGTACTTTTCATGCTAACTTGTTTCTTGTACACAATGACTCAGAGAGGTAGGTACTATTATTATTGCCATTAAAGAGATGATAAAACTAATAATACACAGACCGTTTTAGTAATATCACCCAAAACTTCCCTAGTGTGGCTTAGCAGTGACACGATGAGAATGAGAGGGCCAGGATTTGACATCAGGCAAGTTGGCTCCAGAGCTGGTATTATTTACCACTGTGCTGCTCTGCTTCTCTAAGTGAGTGAGAAGGAAAAGCTACAAAACTATGTATGGCATGATCCCGGTTTATAAAATTTTTGTTGTTAATATTAGTATGTATTTTAAGGTCATACAATTTAATTCATGTATATATTTTTATATAATTATACACTCATAGAAAAGAAAGATAGTATTTTGAAATTTTCTAATAATGATTACTTCCCTCTAGCAGTGGTTCCCAACCTGTGGATCGTGACCATCAGAAAACACATATAGCATATCAGATATTTACATTACAATTCATAACAGTAGCAAAATTACAGTTATGAAGTAGCAACGAACATAATTTTATGGTTGGGGGTCACCACAACATGAGGAA